TAGTCTGACCAGTACCTTTTTGCAACTGTCTACTACCTTTGACACCGTTTTACAAGAGTCAAGTGCTCTTAACGCCGCCTGGCTATCCGACATGATGTTTATTGTTGCCCCATTTGTCCTACTACGAGGACATTCATGGACACAGACTTCAGTTTCAAAAATTTCCGCCTAGAATATGGTAGGGTATAAGCCCATCGGGACGCTTTTTTAAAATCTAGGTCGAAATATGCCGGCTCCAGTGTTCCCATCCTCAAGTTTCGAACCATCAGTGTACCAGACTTGATTTCCCTCGCTGAACATGGCGATTATCGTTTTACAGGTATCCCTTTCAGGTATTATTACCCTGTAGGGCTTTGAAAAGGTCAGCTTCGGCAGCATTGAGTCTGTGAGTTTTATAATGGGATCATTTATGAATGGTTTTAGAACACCAAAATGACCTCTTAAGTCCCCACTTTTGAACCTACTTAGGTTCAGTAGCCTCAGGGCTCTCCAGCAAGCCTCTTTCTCTACGAGTGTGGCTAGAGGCGGTATGCCTGTGATGACACCAAGCGCCTCTGACGGGCACGAGCGTATCGCCCCCGTAATGGCCACACAAACCAGGCGGTGGAGCTTACCCAGAGTGGCTGTAGAGGTTTTCTGCTTGGCTTTTGGCCACCAGGCCAGTGCCGCATAGGTGGCAATCGGTTTTATCACCGCATTGAATGACCAATACGTTAATTTCGGGGATATTTCCCAAATCTTACCATGAAGCCTTTGACAAGCATAAAATGCTCTCGTGGCTTTATTGGTAACCGCTGTGAGGCGCGAGTTCCAGTTGAGTCTCTTATCTAGTATTACGCCTAGATATTTTGCCTCTTATGAGAACTCAATTTCTGTGCCGCACAATTTGGGTTTGGTCAAGTTGACCTTCCTTCTTTTGGCAAATGGGACGACGACGGACTTCATTGGGTTAATTGAAAGGCCCTTTTCAGCACACCATACTACGATTACGTTTAGAGCAGACTGTAACCTGGAGCTTAAAGTCTCCTCATCCCAGCCTACCACGGTCATCAGCATATCCATATGCATTACAGCCATTCCCTTTAAGTCTTTCTAGAAGTTCGTCCACAAGTAGTGTCCACAATAGGAGAGAGAAGAAGGATTGTGACACACGGTTGAATTTTTGTCAACATTAATTTGAATCAACAAATTCGTTAAATTTCAAAAAGAACAATCTTGTTGCGACATACTAATGAAAGAAGAATGTAAAAACATATTTGTTTATTCAAGTAATTTAATCATTTCCAAACATTTGAAAGGTACTCGGCTGAAAAAGCAGTATTCGTAATCGGAACGCGGTCGACACCACTGTCGATATAGGAAATCCGACAGTGACTTCCACAAAGAAATTGAAGCGTATGTTGAAGAAAGTCAGAATAAGAATAAATATACGTACATTTATTATGTTCGAAATGCAAAACTCAGTAAGTTTCTCTCTTTGGGAGAGTAAGACACCTTATTCTCTGAATTTTATTACTGGCTAATCCTTACTGGCAGTTGCATAGCGAACACTCTAATGCCATTTCCTGCTCATAATTACTCATACAATTACCTCCTGTTGCGAACTCGAACAAGAATCCTTACCATCCGCTATAAACATAAGTCCATCATAAAGATACTCTTTCGTAGATGGTTTACTCACTTGTCTGGTCATCGACCAGTGGTCGATTGCACAGCTGCTTTGCTCTGTGCGTTTGCGGCGCACCCCTGAAATAGGCGCGTACTGCTCAGCACGATATAAACGAACATACTCACATACATGTGTATGTATGTATGTATATAGTATAATTACAAAATAGACAAAGGTCAGTGTGTCGTTTTGAGGTAGCCGAGTTGACAACAAAGAAAGGATATTCACCTGCTTCAGCAGATCTACAATGATATTTGTTTAATGAACTATGTACATACTTGTACTTGTACTTGTGTACAAGTATAAATATGCATACATATGTATTTATGTGCATATAACCAACCGTTCCTCAACTGAGCGTTACTGCAGCAGGCAATATATTTTAGATGTTTAATAGCAATAGGATGGCCACTTGCCAGCATATAAATTTATATTTATAAGTGAATGTTTTAATGTGGCGCGTGTCTGCTGCTGACTTTTATCCGTATACATATATTTTAACCCAACCTTGTATGAAAATTTTGCATAAGGTAGCGAATAGGAGAATTGAAAAAATTTAATGTAATCTTATTGAATTTTTGTCTGACGACGTGAATATTCGAACGCGGTTTCGGTCACTGAGTGCGAAAATTCGAGTCAGCTTTTTATATCCGACAGCAATTGCGCAACAGAACTTGTTTTTTGTTCATGTGTCGGTTATTTTGAAATAGGGTAAAGGAATCGAGATTGGTAAAGGCATATGCAAATATCCACCAAAATATTCAGAATAACGAATATTCATTCTACTATCTATCTACTAAGCCATGTCACACGAGTAGCCAGAGTACACGATAATTTAAACAAAAATTCTGATACTTAAATGAAATTTGGTATAAGGGCTGCCACTGATTGTTAATAAGCACGAGAAATACTACAAAATTTTAAATGAGAACAATGTTTTGAAAGTATGTAGGTGTGTCCCCACCTACTTATTTTGAAACTTGATTTACATAAATACTTTCTTCATCCCCCTAAACAAAGTGGCCGCCGTAGTCGGCAACCTTCTGAGTGTGTTTCTGCGTTGGAAAAGCTTCTCACAAAACCATCTGTCTTTCGGAGACACAATCAAGATGTATACAATCAAGATGTGGAACACATATTTGAGGAGAAACGCGGCCAAACCCTTCGCAAATACGTAAGCGCCCAAAATTTAGTTATTTAATTTAAACAAGCCGTTAGAAATTTAAAATGGGCCACAAATTACGCCTACCTCCACATAACGGTATTTTTGGAAAATCAAAAAATTACAAGTTTTCAATATGTGTTATGATAAATTGTTCAAATTTGGTATTTAGAGGAAGGTAGTTTTCAACAAAAAATTAGATTCTTGTAAAATTTTTAAACATGGGTTTAGCACATCCCGCTTAACAAAAAAGTATTTGGTTTTTAAATTTTTTGGCTAATATGTAACAATTTATACTCAACAATCTTATTGGAAACAAGTATGTGTGTAAGCATGTGTAACTCAGTACCGGCTTATCTCACTAAGAAAATTCAGAAATCGGCGGATCGGAGGAAATTCTTGAAATTGGGCAATAACCACATCCACTTAACCTTCACCGCGGCACTATTTACATATTTATGTAAAGAGTTTAATTTTGAAATGGCTAGAACTATTCAAATTTTCATCCGACTTTGAAAATGCTTCATGTCATTTTTAGTCCTTTTTCTGATAAACCGAGAACAATTTTTAAATTTTATAATTTTTTGCTTTTTTTTGGCGTTTTTTTGACGTAGAAAACGTCTTACGTTTCGATTGGAGGCTATGCTCAAATGTTGTAGTTGTAATCAGGGACGTGAACCGGCTTTGAACGAAAAACCGCTGTTTTCTATTAATTAACTGAACCATTAACCGAACCGAAATTTTCCACAAATGTTTGAATCGAACCGAAAACCTATAAAGGTTCGTTTCAACCAATTTTCAATAGATACATGTACCCACTTTTTTTCTTTTTGTTAAACATGGTAATACCTACCATGTTTGTTTACAATGTTACTATCAAATGTAAAGGCAACCCATCTCATTTGACAGACACTTGACCCTTTACCTTACACGTTGTTGCACTTGACACTTGACACTTAAACTTGCACGTTATTTTTGTGTGTTTCGAACCGTTGAACCGAACCGACACCCCGGTTCAAAGAACAAAAACACGGCTTTGACGAACCAAACCAAAAGTGCAAAAACGATTCGAACCGCTGAAGCGAACCGACCAAATTTTTCATCCGGCTCACGTCCCTGGTTGTAATTTTTAGAGCTTCACGAAAACGCTCATTGCACGAGAACTGATGAAGAGATTTCAAAGAAAAGTGCGGCGTTTCAAAGATAACATTACAAACCTATCGAAAAATTCATTTTTGTAAGTAACCAATTCGGCTTCTGTCATAGAAACAACGGTAAATATTTTTTTCACACAAACAAATTAATATATTCGCGAAACTGATGGCCAAGAATAGTAAAACTACGTTTTTTTGTTTTTCTCTCTGACCCCAGTATTCTTTTTGAGAAAGACTTTGAAATTCCAAAGACGTGATTATGAAATTATTAATAAAATTCTGTGAAATGTTGAATAACAATATGAGTATCAAATAAAAAAAGAAAATTCTGTAAAATAGATTTAAAAAGAAAAAATTGTGCATAAGGAAGAATAGCTACCGATAATTTCCTTAAAAATTTTCTCTCTGAACATCATTGAAAATTTCCAATATTTATTTTTGAAAAAATTATTTGTTAAGAACTTATACATATACATAGGAGGTATGTAAATGCCGCTCTACGTACATAAATTAAGCTCGGCTTTGCCGAAAGTAAAATGTTTTTATTTGTTTTAATTCGTTACAAATGACGTTCATTACCGAAATTATTTTTGGAATTTCCCCAGACTCAGTTTTAGTGTTTATGAGCGATTTTGACCGAAAATATCATAACTTTGAAGGATTTCAAGAACTATGCAATTACATAACTTAAATTTTCACAAAATAGTGTTTTATTTGAGTCGTAGCGAGATCCTGCTTTTAGGAGGAGATTTTATTTAAATTGTTGTAACGACAACGTTATCCTATTTATTGATAACGCTACTTTGTCAAGGTGAAAAATTGAAGTTCTATGCATTTGTATGTCAATCAATCTGTCCATGGATTAGTGTTATTTTATTTTATTACTCCCATTGACCTTTGTGGACTCCAAAACGCCTCTAAATTACCACCTGCGAGACTACTAATACAGCGACACTTCATGAGCAGTGCACCTGTCGTGCTAAGCATTTGAGCAGTTCTCTTTTCGTTTTTGGTCCTTTTGGTAGCTCGATTTTTTCTATCCCGCTCCAATTTGAAATACAAATAGAAAACCCCACAAACAGCTGTTGTACTATTGCAGTTGCATATATATCCATATATGTATCTATGTACCTATTTAGGCATGTATGTACATATATGCAACAGAATTATAATAGCAGGTGCCAAAAGAGTAATACTTTCAGTAAAACAAACATAAATTGAAAGAGAGATATACATATGTAGGTATGTTTGTATCTATTTTAAAAATATGTATTTGGGAAAGATTAAAATACAGCATAGTATACAGATGTACATACACACATAAGCACGTAAGTATAAAATATAAATGGCTATAAAGAAAATGCTTACACATCCCCAACACTTCACGTAAATGACTTAACATTAACACTCTCTTTGTTTTGCTCAGCTGCTTCGCCTTTTTGGCTTATCATTTCCTTGATATAAGCGCCATGTTTTAACAGCGGTTTCACACAACCATAACAGCTAGCATACCTGCAGAACGAACCACGCTCTTATTAACTCTAATATGGGCCTCTCATTTGAATTATATTTTACAGTGACTGTTAAAGTTTGCTATCATTTTAACATTCCTATTAGAGATGGGCACGTGAGTGATTTTGGCTCACATTCACGCACGCTCATGTTTATGGGTTTGTAAATCACGCACACTAACGTTCTGTTATATTGTTTTCAATAACGTTCACGCACACTCACGACGCCTAGTTTTTTAATCACTCACGCTCACGCATGCTTATTCACGGAATTTTTTTTCAAATTGAATCTTTATTTATATAAATAACTTATATAAATATGCTTCATCGAACGAGTAGAGTTACAAAAGCTTAGCCAAACATCTTGCCTGGCATGAACGCACTATTAATTTTTTTTACAAATATCATAGAAAAGAACTCAGGCTTCTAAGAAGTGGAAAATATTTAGCTTACTTAAAACATCGTTACAACTTTTGTGTTCTGAGTTTTTGAAATAAATCTGTATTTCCGCATTAATGTCTTCAAAAACTGTTTCTAAAGCAGTGGTGGAAAATAAAAAATTAAAATTGTGCCGAATTTCTCCGGTGCGAATAAATTGAAAGTCATCGATAGGTACCATTTCCTTTATAAAATATATTTACAGTACTTCTTGCGTAAAAAAAAAACAAAAATCTCACGGAAAACCTTTCCTTAATACAACAACAAAACACCAAAACACCAAAAACTATAAAAATCAAAGTTTAAAACTTTCTACAAAAAATTTGTATTCAAATTTAGAACTTTGTTGTCAGAAATTTTAGAAAGCTTTCGTGTATGCAGTTTTATAGCCCATTCAATTTAAGGATTATAAAGTGCCACTGCGGCTAAGAATTCGCGTTGATTTTTAATATTTTTTTATTTCTATTCAACAATTTTTATTGAGCTCGAGGCCGTTTTTTAATAAAAACTTATTGTGGAAAAGCAACAATAATTTGAAAAAATGGTAGAAGTGATAGCTATTGCGGAAATCACCACATTTCCTCATCAGTTAAAAAACGGCCTCGAGCTCAATAAAAATTGTTGAATATAATTGTTA